CTTTTTTCTTTCCGTTCCTTCCCCTTCCCTTCATCTCCCTTTCCTTTCTTTTCTTCTTTCCTTTCCTCTTTTCTTTTTTCTTTCCTTTCCTTCCCTTTCCTTCATCTCTTCTTTTTCTTTCCTTTCCTTTCCTCTTTTCTTCCAAAAGGGAACTGGACTTTCTCGGTTTCTTTTTATTATTCTTTTTATTTCTTTGGAAAGAGGGAAATCTTCATCCAAGCAGCTTCTTCCGTTTTTGCTTAAGTGAACTGAAGATGCTTCTTGGATGAGAAGGGATATGTTTTCAGAAGCGGGGGAATCAAGAAAGACCAGTTGTCCTTTTTTGTGCGGGGGTTGTGGGGGGAGCATTTTGGGGACATTGGAGAGGAAGGTAAAGAGAATTGCCAGATGGGCAAGGAAACCTGTGGATGTATTTGCCAGAAAGATTTGGAAATGCTTTTAAAAGTGATGTATTTATTATTAAAGGGGTGTGTCCCGTGATTCTCAACAACTCTGGATAATTTTATTTCGCTAACTGGGCTTTGATCTCCTCCATCTCCAATTTTTAAGGGGGTTTCCATTAGCTCATGCAGGGCATCCTTTTGCTTGAGTTTCCATTCTTTTCCACTTTTTTTAAAAATTAAACCTTTAGCCAGAAACGGAAATGCCAGAAACGTAGACCTTTTTATTGTCTTTTTAATTGTCTGCTCTTTTTTTTTTTTTTTGGCAGCCTCCTCCAGTGGGGTGTTCTTTGTTCGGGTTGGATTGCAATTTTTGGCATTTAATTTACAATAATGAGATACAATAAAATCATGCTGGGTGGGGCCAGTGAGGGCTTGCAGGCCAGCTCAGCTCACAGCGCCAAGTTTTAGGGAGGCTGTTTGGGAGAGTTAGGATACGTTTGACTCCGCTTTAGGTCTCCCTGCTCCAAATCCTGTCTCATTACTACCCGATTAATTGAAGCTTGTTCCTTCATCTATGCAAGATTGCAGCCCAGATATGTCTGCAATTTGTTCCTGGGAGCTGGGACTTCTCTGGGAGTTACTAAATAGCCCACGGCAAATCTTCCTAGACTTCGTTAAACTAGGTAGACTTGTCTGCCGGTTAAGTGTGTTTCAACGGGGCTGATTCCCAAGTACAGTAAGCATGCATTGTGTTCAGGCTCGGCTACATTTGAAGCATTACAGGTAGTCCTTGACTTACAACAGTTCTGCTTAGTGACCATTCAAAGTTACAGTGCCACTGAAAAAAGGGACTTATGACCCTTTTCACGCTTATGACTGTTGCAGGTCACGTGATTTATCAATCAGTCAGATGCTTGACAACAGACTCACATTTACCATAGTTGCCATGTCCCAGAATCATGTGATCCCATTTTATGACCTCCTGACAAGCAATGGGGGCGACCAGATTCACTTAACCACTGTGTTGTTAGTTTAAAGAACTGCAGTGATTCACTAAGTCCAGGACTGTCTGTTATTGTTTTCTCTTCCTTCCCCTGATCCCGATTTATGGTTTCCTTAAGCAGCATCATAGGAGTACATTTCAATTGTCCCAATCAAGCTGATTTTAATAAGTGAAGCCTAAGGCACTCCTTGAATTGTAAGGTAAAGGTTAAACCTTTGTCTTTCGCTGTGGGGCAGTTTCTCAATAGAAAGATTCCTGGCTTTGTTCTCTAAGCAGGGAATGAGTTGAGATGGGAAAACAGAGAAGTGTTCTACGGTGGTTTCTTTAAAAAGAGCTTTTTCTTCTATGGCAAGCCCAGAGTTTTTACATGGACACAGTATAAATGCCCCTAGATATTAAAGATGGTCGGCTTTTGTAGTGAAGGGTAGATTTTTTTTTTTTCCTCCTGAAAAGTTATCAAGGAAGCTGAGGCTTTGGAATGCTCAACCGTGGAGTTGTGTAGATTTTGCTGAAGTGTGTATTGGGCAGAATCCCTAACCGTTGGGATGAGGTTCCAAAATTTTCGGGAGTGCTATTGTGTGCTGTGTTGGGCTGCTTTTTTGCCTTTCTTTGGTAGTTCCTTCAAGAATAGAACTTTGCTTTGTGTTGTGGTTAACAAAAGAAACATTTCTTTTTTTTTCAAAGTCTGGAGTTATTTTAAGACTATTTTTAGCTATCTTTATAAAGAAGCCAGACCTATTGAGCAAACTGGCCCGTTCCCAAAATATTTTTGGAGAAGTTATGCTTCCTGCATGGAGCCTTTAGAGATGAATCAGTTTGAAAATGGAAAGAAATGAACTATAGTAAGATGAACATTCCTTTTCTTTTCCTTTTTTAACCGGGATCATGATGAGATCAGTTGTGGATATTCTGTCTTACAGAGGTAGTTATGCACAACGTAAATATTAACATACTGAGGCAAGCCGTTATTTATTTTGAACTCTGAAATTTCCCTGAAACCTTATCCACAATCTGCCTAAATTTGAGTCGCAACTTACCTTTGGGAATGAGGAAATGGTGCATGAGTTCAGGCACTGAAAATGTGGCTTAGTTTCTAATTTTTAATTTCAGAATTTTGGAAAGCAGAAGTTTTTTTAAAAATTTTTCCAGAGGGATCCAGGTGACCTTCAAAAATCCCCAAGATGCCTGGGTATCCACACCCGTAAAGTGAAATAATGATGCCTAAAATTGAAGTTTTTTTTTTAATAGCTCTGGATAGCATTTGAAGCTATGAGTCTAATTCTCAAGTATTTAGAATATTTTTCTAGCCCTGCCTTTATTGACTCTTGATTTGGAGTGGAGAAGGATTTTCCAGATATTTTCTTTGTTAAATTTGGTGCAGTTTATCGTGGGAGAAACAGTTGCACACAATTTAATTCTGTACAGCTTCTGTTTCCCGGGGGAAATACATTGCTAACAATTATTGTGTATTATTACCTTTATTTATGCATTATTTTTATACCATAATTGCTGATTCTCTAAAATGTGTAACTTGAACAGTTTGGGACAGTTTGAAAAATCTTACTGTATGAATGAAACTGGGAAAAAATAAAAAACAACTTCCTGATCAGCCTTAGGCCTTGCAATTCACAGATTTTGTGACCAATAAGCAGGCTTTGTACTAGTATAACTGTTTCTCATGCTCTCTGTTTCTGATAGCATTTTTGGTTTTGCTCACATTTGGCTATTAAGTACACAGATCAAAGGCACACCCAGTAAACTGAACACAATTTAAAAGTAGTTGAGATTTGATAATGTGGCATATAAATTATCTCCTCCCAATTCAAGTATCCTTTAAGGAGAATTAGCTCAGCATGTAAATCAATGGTGGGATGTCAGGAATCTAAAAACACTCCCTGGGAATTGCTTCCCAGCCCTGGCAAATTCAAGGTTTCGCTTCAGCTCCCAGAATTCTCAGCAGTGGCTCTGTAGAGTGTGGAATTCTGGGATTTGAAGTCCATATACTTGGGACATGGCCATGGCTGGGGGACACTGTCGATGGATTCTCTGCCTTTCCCCTTTGCAAAGGACAACTGTGGACTCTGTTCTGAGAAATTAAAAAAGATGAAACAGACACTCTCTAAGGCTTTGTGTAAAAGTATTGCCAGAGCCAGAAATAGTTCTCTCTGGGCCCCCATGTTCTTCTTCTTGGCATCATGACCTAATAGGTGAAACAGGGGGGGAAAAAACGATAATGGAGAGCACACCCAACTATTTATTTAGAAACGCCCCTTTGCTTCCTTTCCCTGCGCCAATTGGAACCATATGTGCAAGGAGCAGCTTTTATGACACCCTCGTGTTTGTCTCCTGGCCCCTCAACAGCTGAGACCTTCCCCCCCCCCCACCAAATCTCTTCAAGACAGTGACTTTACAAAAGTTTCCCACCAATGTTTAGGCCGATGAGCAGTGGCGATTTAAAGCTGATTTATGCGGCATTCACTCCCTTCTGTGATTCTTGTGTTTACTGAGAAGCGGACATGCTCTCATGCTCCAGGAAACGAGGTTTGATATATGAGTGACCTTTCCTCTTCTCTCTCTCTCTCCCTCCTCCTCCCCACCCCCTCAGAAAAAACCCTGGGTGCAAACACAAAAGAAGGGAATTTTCTTAGCTGTCCTGCAAGGGGAACATCAGAAAATCACACTGCCCAGCGGTGTATCATTAAACTCTGTTTTGCAGATTAGCTGCTGCGGCTGCTGCTACTGCTGGGGTTTATAATGGCCTCACTGTGAGTACAAGGTTGGGGAAATGAAGTGAATACAGGTAGTCCTGGACTTAATGGCCACCATTGAGCCCAGAATTCCTGCGCTTAAGTGAGACGCTTGTTAAGTGAGTTTTGCCCCTTATTTTGCGACCATTCTTGTCTCCGCTGTTAAGTGAATCCCTGCAGTTGATGAGTTAACTTACCCGCTTGTTAAGCGAAACTGGCTTTCCCCGTTGACTTTGATCGCGTGACCCTTGGGACACTGCGACCGTCGTAACTATGAACCAGTGTTGCCAAGCGTCTGAATTTTAATCCTCTGACCATGGGGAGGCTGCAGTGGTCCTAAGTGTGAAAAACGGTCTTCAGTGCCTTTTTTTCCACTCCCATTGTAACTTTGAAAGGTCACTAAACAAGGCGTTTAAGCCAAACTTGACAGCTTTAAGACTTGTGGACTTCAACTCCCAGAATCCCTCCTCCAGTCATGTTAGCTCAGGGATTCTGGGAGTTGAAGTCCACAAGCCTTCAAGTGGCCAAGTTTGAAGGCCCTTGGTTTAAGTTGAGGGCTACTTACAGCCCTCCATTGCTTGTTCCGTCCCGATTTATTTTTATTTTTTTTGAGCCTCCGCTGCCGTCTGTGCAAATGTGCGAGCTGCAGCCAGCTTTTTATTGTGGGTTCATGAGCTGGCGAGGTATCCCAGCGGCAGCTTTTACAGCGTGGACCCAGAACCTTCGTTCTCAGGTTAGCACCATCCATTTGTGCTGATTGCAGCTCCCTTAACGTCCAGCTAGCTGTGGATGATGAGAATTCAGGTCCAATGCCTATTGACAGAATTAGGTTAGGCACAATGGGCCCTAGAACGTTAATTGTGAAGTAAGCAACGGTTGCTTATTTTCTGAAAGGGGCGCGATGCGATTTCTGGCCCAAGGAAAATAGATCGATAAATAGGGCTGTGGAAATTCCAGAGTCAGCCTGGTTTTTTTTTCCTCCCAAGTAGGACATCCTAAGCTCTAGTTCGGGGCGAGGGGGGTGGGGGAAAACCCCTCTGCAGGATTAAACAAGTCAGTATTCTGTATTCCTGCATTTTTCCGGTTTGCGTGCGGCTCTTGTGGGCTTTGGCTAGTTAACGCATCCAGCAGATTTGACATCATTTTCCTCTGAAATAAACTTGGCTTCCCTGAGAAGCCTTCTGTTTACTTGAACCGGGGGATCGTTAACAGAATCTAGGTAAATCAAACTTTTCGTCTTTGATCCGAATCCACAGCTGACTCATCGGGCTGAAAGCTAGCAAAGCTTAGGAGATGGGAAATGTATTTGTTCTCCTGGCTGTTTCCTTCTCTTCCCGGACCTGTTTGACTTGTGCCACACAACCACTGAGGAGGCGTGCTTTAATGGCCCGGCTAGGCTTGACCCGGGACTTTTCATTCCCCCTTTTCAACACTCCGGAGTGGTTCTGAAAGGTTCTTGCCTCGTAGGAAACCTGAGACAGATTTGCTACTCAAAAAATGTTAAGAGGCTGAAGGAGAAAAGAATCCACATTTATTTACTTATGAAGTTGCTGGTTTGGTATATTAGGAGTTACGGTCTAATAATCCCAGAACCAGAGGTAGCATCTTAAAAACCAGGTCCAGTTAAAAGCCACAGCAAACAAATCCACAAATTTGTTGGATGCTGGTGAAACTTGGAAGGTGTAGCCTGCTACACTTCATGGGACCTTGGTGCTCTCTGAGGTTGTTTTCTTGCAGTCGTTTCCCAGTTAGGAAGCATCGTCAATGTTAGAAGGATAATGAACAGTAAACCCAACTCCCCTCTAGCACTGATGATGTTACCTAGTTGGGTACTGAAATGTCTGCAAGAAAACAAACCTCAGAGTTCAACCCGAGCTACAAATATTCCCTTCTCTAACTACTAAAGTATCAGAAGGAGACATATATGTACCTTTTACTGTTCTGCTTAAGGCACCTCCTCCCACCTATTCCCCTCCCCGCCTGCCAATCAAACACTTTCAAAGCTTCTAGCAATTGTAGTTTTTTTTATTTATTTATTTTCCTGGTCGCCTTGTAGTCATGCCAGAATGGACTTGAGAATTTCTCCCCCCC